GCTTGAATGCCTGGCTTTTCCCAGTTCGCCTTCCTCCCTAGGAGACTGTCTGTAGGGGATCCAGCATGGTGTGTTCATTCAGGAAGTCTCCTGGTCCCTCCGATCTTTCCAACTTGGAAAAACTTGATCCCCACCGGGATTATTTCCGTGCCTTTAACACGCTCTTGAGCGCGGCGCGGTTTTAAGAAGCGGAAAAGAGCACCAAGTCCCAGCTCTGCTCGCTCCTACACATTGGTGCCTATCCCCCGCACCCTTTAATCATCCGGATTATATCAAGGGGAAGATGGTGTGAATTGGAAAGCATCAGATTTCTCCCGTGTGTCACGCCGACCCCCACCCCCTTTAAAGCTAAAGGAGATGTAAAGTATCCCCAAGTTACTGCGCTTGGCAGAGCCGTGCTTTGCCCGGAATTGCGGCCCCCGGAGCATGCGGCTCGCTCTCCGGCCCTGTGTGGCAGAGGGGGTGCCGCCGTCTCCCCGGAGCAGAAGGGGGATTCTTGAGGTGACCACATTTGCAGGAATGTAAATGAGCCCGTTTTGTGAGAGCCGGAGGGGAGGGGGCAAGGGAGGAGGAGGCGGATTGCACATTTTACAGCTCACTGACCATTTGGCGATCCATTGAGAGGAGGGTTTGGAAAAGTGGCTCCTTTGTGACAGCTCTAGCCAGATTGGGGGGCTGCTCATTTGCATCTCATTAGCCATGCAGGCGGCCGGCGGGATATAAGGGAGGCAGGCTCCCGATGAGAGGCAGATCCTTAGCGCTTGACACTCGGAGAGACACCGAGCACCGGCCACGATCGCACCGCACGCACGCGGCGAGCGCCGGCAGCACACACGGGCGCGCTCGGTTCGCCACCATCTGACTTTCTTTCTTTTCCTTTCTTTTTTTTTTTTTTTGGCTTGGATTCCTTTGAAACAAAAAAACCCCAACACAAACAAAAGACAAAACAAACAAACAAACAAAAAAACCCCGCCACTGCGAGACAGATCTTCGCTTTCTGCAAGAAGAGTCCGACGTGATCTGCAAATCGCTGCTGCTTGACACCTCCCAGGGCGAGCTGCACGGCACACACACACGTTCACACACTCCGCCTCTCCCCTCGGCTGAAGGCACCGGGAATTATCGCCTCCTCCTCGTCTGCAGGGATTTCCAGATCGCTGATTTTTAATCTTCCTGGGGAAGCCTTTTTCTCTGCCTCTGTTGGGAATTAAGTGGCTTATTTTATTTCTTTCTCTCTCTCTTTTTTTTTTTTTTGCCTCTCTCCTGGTGAGGGAAGAAGACGCTTTAGGCGAAAAAGAAAAACAACAGACTGAACTGACACACAAAATACGATTTTTTTAAAAAAGAAAAGAAATCGTGGATTGGAAAAGAAAGAGAAGGGGGAAACCTTGCTGCTTAGAATATTAGCTTCAAACACCACCTTCTCCTTCCTTTGGGGGGCCGCCCAAGGGTGCACCTCAAAGCATCAGCAGCACAAGACAAGAAGAGAGTCCGGGAAGAGGAAGAAATCCTTCACACGAACTCTCGCAGGCAGGCTGGGTCCAGAGACTTCTCCTGCCCGCGCCGCTTGAGAGAGACTTTCCCCCACCCCCTTGGAAAGGAAGAAAAGGAAGGGGGGAAGGAAGAAGAGAGAGAAAGAGAGAGTGAGGAAGAAAAAGAAGAGTCCCCTCAGCTCCCTCATCATGGGAGCTCAGTGCATGCTGACTCTTGCTCTCCTCTCGGTGCTGCTTTGCCCTGGCCAGGTGAGTGTCTGGGGGTTGAGCTAAGGGGAGGGAGACCTGGGGGCTCCTGGAGGGGGAGGG